TAAGTTAGGAAACAGTTAAATAGATAAATGCAGAACAGGAGACTATACAGCCATCAGTTCCTACTTTTAATCCACAAATGCCTACTCATTCTTCAATGTTTAGTTGAAGTTATGAAATTGACCAAGTTTTCTTTTACCTTTCCAACTCTGAAAATGACTTCTTGTCTCCTGCTTTTCCATTCCAACCAATGTCTTCTTCAATGAACATCCACAATTGCTTCACTTTGGGAAGCTGAGCCTCCCCTCCACCAATTGACTATTCATGATTAAGAGACCCCTGGCTTCCCCACGGAGTTAAAAATGGAGACCTTTAGATCTCATTGAATCTATTAATCCTGTCCAGTAGTAACTCTCCATAGTATGTTAGTATCATTTGGCACACCATGTTTAAGGCATTTATGCTGATTCAGCCAAGGTCTAAAGTACAGATGACTAATTATGGTTTTAAAATCTGATGAATCACTCACTACCTTTACACTGTCAAGTTTAAATTTATATCAACTTAGTGGCCCCGAATTCCATTTTGATTTCATTCTTTAGCCTAGCTATAAAATCAAATCGATGGGATTCCTGAGTCAGAGCGACGCTAATGCAATGCTACAGTCCTCCAGGAACTACCAGTGCCCTCTCTGCGGTCTGTGACAAGACCTGACTGCAGACTGATGTGACTCACCCGCACCATCCCCGTGCCCTTTGTCCTTGCCTTGCACTCTAGACTAGGAACGTGTTCCACGGGGACAATGTCTCACGGTGACCCAGGAGGTTTCGGCTGAAATAGCAAGTCTTGGCCTTTTCTTCTCCATTTCTTAACTCCATTTCCAAAGGCAACTCATTGTGCAAATTGGAAGCACAGGAATAGTGGAGGAAAGGGGGCAAATCTGTCAGTGGTTCCCTGGGAATCACCAGAAAGCCTATTTCTGATCGGAGCTGTCTTGGTTTACAGGACTGAGCTAACTGGGTAAACTAGGGGCTGTACTTTCTATATCCATCGAAGTGATACTGATAATTGGTAGCACTGAGTCCTTCATGGGTGCTATCCACCACACAAAGTACTTCAGCAAACAAAGGCACACAGAGGTTAAGTAACTTGCCCAGCTAGTCGATGCTTGGGCCAAAGGTAGCAAACATGTCCTTTTGACTCCAGAGTCTAGGGTGGACCCTATACTAATGCACAACTACACAGCTAGGTCAGCCTAGTGACAAAGTTCATGATTTATTTCCTCCTAAGTTAAATCACACTAATGAATTAAACAGTAATAATCATAAAGATCATCCCAATCCAAGCTAATACTAGTGACCAAAAACCTTATCGTCAAACTGGCTGATCAATCTTTGTATTTCTACTGAAACGCCTTTGGATTCCTGAAGTTTTACAATAGTGATCTCCTTACTACTTACTGCTGGCCTGAGAGTTCCCCTGTCCTGTTTTACAAGTGAAGAGAATGAGACTCAGGGAGGCCAGCGAACAGCATCAGCGTCACACAGTAAACTGCAGACAAGGGATTCTGATCAGAAGATTCGGGCTCCTAGCAACCGCACATAGTCTATATTCACAGATATAGCTTGAGATATGGTTACAGAGGTCAAGTCTGATAAGAAAGAACATAAGAATTAGTAATTCAATTTTTTAAAATTTGCTTGTATTTTTAAAAAATACTGTTCAATTATTTGAGAAAATATTTCCCCAAACCTTTTCACCAATATTTTAGAAATGCTAATGATGTTTAGAATATAAAAGTCCTTGGATATTATTATCTGTGCAGGTCTATCTAGATAAGAGAGGCTGGATAAATAATGTGGATAAGAAAACAATGGGACTGATGGTTCCAGGGGGACATGGGAGAGTGGGAGGTGGGGGAAGTAGTGTTAACCAACCCAGGGACAAGGGAACAATGAGTGATTCAAAACCAGTGGCAAGGAGGGGTGAGAGGACTGGTAGAGAGTGATCAGGGCAATGTAACCAAGAGGAATTACTGAAACCCAAAGGAAGGCTGAGCATGATAGGGGGACAAGAGGAAAGCAAAAGGAAATAGAGGAAAGAAGTAGGAGGCAAAGGGCATACATAGAGGCCTAAATACAGGCATGTACATATGGAAATATATTTATATTATGATGAGGGGGAAACAGGTCTATGTGCATATATTTATAGGCTTAGCAGTAAGGTAGCAGATGGACATTGGGCCTCCACTTACATACTCCCTCAATGCAAGAACACTTTGCTCAACTAAATGGATGTTCCATGATACCCACCTTCCTGACATGATCACTGAAGACAAATGGGTGTATAAGCAAATGTGGCGA